CAACCTGTGCCAGGGCCTCCCCACCCTCACAGGGAAAACAATTCCTTCCCAATATCCAATCTCACCCTGCTCTGGCAATGTGAAGCCGTTCCCCCTTGTCCTCTCCCTCCAGGCCACTGTAAATAATCTCTCTCCATTTTTCTTGGTGGCTCCTTCAGGCACTAAAAGGCCACAATCAGGTCACCCCAGAGCCTTCTCTTCTCCAGGCTGAACAATCCCAGCTCTCCCATCCTTTCCTCCCAGCAGAGCTGCTCCATCCTCTGACCATGTTGGTGCCTCCTCTGGACTCTCTCCAGCAGCTCCACGTCCTTCCCACGCTGGGCCCTGGGGCTGGAGGCTCTGAGTGGGTGTCAGAAGCTGGTGCTGAAGGAGTTGGTACCTGGCAGCAGTAACTGGACGTGGCCCTGCCTTCCCTTTGGGACAGGGACCAACATGGACCATGCCCTGAGCACCTTGGGCAGTGCAGGAAGGTCCTGCAGGGCACAGTGCCCGGGGCTGCACCTCTGTGTGCTGCAGGCTCACTGCCTGGGAATCCGGGGCTCTGGGCTCCAGAGGAAGAAGCTGCACAATGTACAACTCCCAGAAAGCAGGAACAGAATTTTCCAGCTCTGATCTGGAGCGCCATGAAGGTGTGCAGGTTACTGCTGTGCTGGTGAATTCTGCCCAGTGTTCATGATGTCTATTTTTATTAGGAATATTTCTTCCTCTGAATGCTGGTGGAGCTGAGAGCATCTTTTGATAAGAAGTTCTTCTGCAGTATTCAGATTTTTCAGAAGTATTTGCCTAACTATTTTTTTTTGTTCTTTTACTGAGACCAGCTAAAAGACACCACATGGCTGTGTGAATTCTGGTTCTATGTGGGAGCCCTCTGATCTCATAGAATTTCAAACTGAAGTACAGAGGGATTCAAATCCAACATATGTGTCTCTCTCATTCCTTTCTGCCCTTTAAATTTAAGCTTTCTTTTCAGTTCTAAAAATGTATAATGTATTGGAGAGCTCACTGAAATATCTTTATTAATAATTTATTTGAGTTTTTAATTTTAGTTCTGCCTGAATTTCCTTTCTTTACACACAGATTAGATTTAAATGTGAAATGTTCACTGTGGTTCCTGGACCCTGGCACAATTTGGTATTTTTAATGGGTTAGATCTTCTGCCATCCAACTCATTTATCAGTTCAGTCTCTTTGATACATAATTTTGTAGACTTTTATTAGGCCAAAAGTAAATTTTCTTTTGATGGAGTCCAGCCAAATAAGTTTGCTCTGCTAAAATGTTTCCATGATGCATTTTGTACTGGCTGTATCTTTTGGTGTGAATGTGTTTTCCAGGTAAGGTGGATTTCTGAGCCTCAAAATCATCCCTTGCCCTCTGGGCATCTGATTTTTCTAGGCAACTTTTGGATTGTGTTTTATTAGACTAAGAACTAGGACACCTGTGTTCCAACTCCTGCATATCTTAGGAAATTAATGTTATATAAAAAAAATTACCAAAGTGAGTCCCTTGCTCATTCTTGGAAAGAAAGGAAGGGTTTTATGTCTCTCATGTGGTGCTTTTGTCCCCCCACTGGGGCAGGAGTTTGGGAGCTCTGCTGAAGAGCTGCCACAGCCCTTCCCTTCAGTGCCCTTTGTTCTTGGAAGAGAAAATGAACCAGACCTCTGATATTTCCCAGCTTTTCTTTCTCCTCTCTTCTCTTTCTTGGAATTGTAGTTCTGTGCTGAAAAACAGATGGCTCTGGAGCACGGATTCAGGTGCTCCAGGAGGTTTCCCCGTGAATCCCGATCCCCCTGAGCTGCTGCCATGGAATTCTCTCACCTGAAGCACATAAAAGCTGGGATTCAGAAGCCCAGTGAGTTCTTCAGTGAGAGAAAAATCCCCCCTGGATATTGAAAGTCACCACCCCGGGCTTGAGAATTCCCTGAGCTGCAGATGGCTGGAGGCTCAGAGGATGGCATTAAGTTGTCCTTGCTCTAATACTCCTCCTCCCCAGCAATCTGCTCTGGCTGCTGTCAGAGACACTGCAGGGCTCAGATTAATATTTCATGTTACCTCATATCACCTCTCCTGTGCTCTTACCTTTGAGCTGTTCACCCTGTGTCTGGTCCTGCTGAAGGAGCACATTCCCTGGGGGATGCAGGGCTGTGTCCACGGTGCCAGCTGTGAGTTGCCCACGGGGCTGATGCCGGGTGTGGAGGGAGCATCTCTGGGTGATGTAGCACAGGTGTGCAACTGGGATGATGCACTCTAAGGATGCACTAACGTGGACTTGGTCACTCCTGCCTGCAGGGGTGGCTGTTTGAGGGGCGTGGACTTGAATCATCATGGAATCATGGAATGGTTTGGGTTGGAAGGGACCTTAAAGCTCATCCAGTGCCACCCCCTGCCATGGCCAGGCACACCTTCCACGAGCCCAGGTTGCTCCAAGCCCCGTCCAGCCTGGCCTTGGACACTTCCAGGGATGAGAATGATGTTTTTTTATAACTTTGTTGCTCTCAGCATTGAGTTTCAAGGACACTTTTGGTCGTTCTGTTTTCTGAGCTCGCATATGTTGGTGTTCTTGAGCACACTAATGGAGGGTTATTTAATGATCCATTAATTGGGAGCCTGTGAGAAATTGGGAGTGTGGAGCAGATGGTTGGTGTTTCTGAGACAAAACAGAGTTGGTTCTGTTGGAATCATCACTGTGTTCTGTGCTGGGCATAAGTAAAGGTCTGGGAATCTTTGTCCTGTGCCACCTGTGTGTGGGGTGGCATGGGATGGGGTGGGATGGGATGGATGCTGGGCAGGCTCCTCCTGAGCTGGCACAGCCAGAATCTGTCTGGGCACCCCTGTTTGTGTCCTGTGCTGTGAACTGCTGCTTTCCCAAGTCAAAAGGGAGGGGAGTGAATGTGATTTCTAAGCCATAGACCTCTCCAAGGCTCCCGTGGTGCTTGATGGGCACCAGTCAAGGTACTGTGGCTGAAGTTGCCATCACCTTTGAGTGGGAGAAAGATTCACCCCAGCCCTACAAATTCTGCCTCTCACCTTGTATGAGAGCTGTTCTGACTGTAGGTCACTGGGTTTAATGGTGTCCCCTCAGGGCCTGGGCCCTGGTGCATCACCAGTGTGGGACACTCCACACTCCACTGCTGATGCTCCTGGATCTCAGTGCCCAGGGGCAGGCAGGGAACAGGCCAAGGCAGAGGTGGAGCACGGCTGGGCTGTTCCCTCCTTGGTGTTAGTCTCTCCTACTTGACATTTTTATTGTATTCCTCAGCTCATTTGGCATTCCTGGCTGTTTATCTTTGCCTGCTAAACTTCCACCACTGCCACAAAGCTTTGTAAGTCACATATCCTGGAAGAATATTTTGCCTGCATATCATTTCTGTTTTGCTGAGGATCTGACACATTAGCAAACACTAATGATAACTCTGCTCTTGAATGCTTTCAGAACTGGCCTGCCTTCTCTCCCTTGCTGGCTTTGTCACGTGCAATGCCATCACTATTTCTTCTCTCATCCCATTATGCCATTCAAAGCTGTGCTAGACCTGCTCTCTGTCAGGTGAATGGTAAATCACCTCAGAGAATCTCCCAGTGTCAAAAATAAGGTGACAAACGCCCTCACCAGGCACTGGGGCTGTTCCCTGCAGTTGGACAGTTTGGGGAGCAGCAGAGGGAGGAAGGAAGGGCAAGTTAAACCGGGTCTGCTCTGGAAATGCTGCTGAGCTCATTCCCTCCTTGCTTTCTTAGGAACCAGGTTCCAGAACCTTTATTGGAGGGTGAGGAAGTTAAATTCTACCCTTAAATCATCCTCTTTTTTGTGCTTTCTCACCAGCTGTTACTTTTTATCTTTTGGTCTCCACTTATGGGATATTTTTGTCCGTTTTTGTTTGCTCTTTCTTCATCGTAAGTGTAACAAAGAGCAAACGTTATTTGGGTGTTTGAAAATGCAAGATGAAAAATCATACTTGCGAGCTTTTTCTAGTCTAACACTGAAGTCTGTTAAAGCAGAGTGAAGCCCTTGCAGGAATAATCAAGCCCTGGGGGTTGAGTTGGCCCTGAAGGTCAGGTTGGCCGGCTCCAATCTGTGCTTGCTTTTCAAACATATTGGTGTGAAATTGTGACCTTTTCCCATGTTGTTCGTTCACGGTTCCGTGGTTTTTACTGAACACATCATGACCTTGCCTTGAGAGCCCTCACGTAATGAAGTGTTTTGTTATTTGGTACATGAATTTCAGTTCTTTTCTTAATGAAACAATGAAGGATTGCACAATGAAAACACGAATACAAAGCAGCTGCTCTGTCATGTCTTGTAAATGTGACTTTCTCAATAAGAGACAGGTAACGTTTTCTTTACGTGCGCAGTTATTCCCTCAAGTTGTCTTTTCTTTGCTTTCTTTTGTATTTAGCTGCAGTCACTCTGCAGCCTCCACCACATATGGCACAAATTGCTGCTGCTGAAATAGAGTTGCTCATAAGAAAATTAAAGTAGATGCAAGAAGCTTTCTGTGCAACAAAGTTCAACTCAGATCTAAAGTTGTTGCCAGATATGTGTGTGCCTGTTTCTCTAGTGGAGTTCTCCTACAGATCTGGGAGTATTTTGGGTGAGATTCCTGTTGGTGTGTTGAGTAAGAAGTAGTACTGCTACAGAGAGGTGTAGGGTTCACCTGGGAGGTTGGTTCCACGCAGGATGAACAAACTCTGTGTTTCAGGCTGTCAAACAGCTTATCTTCTATGCAACCAGGTTCCTGGGCTTTCTGTGGTTGTAAATGTCCGTGGTATTCTGAATGCTGTGTTTGTGAACATGCAGCTGCAGTAGGAACTGTCACCAGAGCCAGGTTGGACGGGGCTTGGAGCAACCTGGTCCAGTGGAAGGTGTCCCTGCCCATGGCAGGGGGTGGAACGAGGTGAGTTTTAAGGTCCTTTCCAACCCAAACCAGTCTGGGATTCTTTGATCCTACATGACACTGAGGAATGGGATAACAGAGCTTGAAAATTGTGACGCAGTAGCAGAGCTCTGGGAATATGGAGAATGGGAAGATGTATTTGTAGATAAGCGTGAAAATTTTTGTGAAGGCTTTGTGCCAGCTCTTTCTTCTGCAACAGCCCTGATGGCACTGAGCCATCACCATCTTCAAAGCAGCTTCATGGAACCATAGACTGGTTTGGGTTGAAAGAGACCTTAAAGCTCATCTCCTTCTTCCCCCTGCCACAGGCAGGGACACCTTCCACTAGCCCAGGTTGCTCCAAGCCCCGTCCAACCTGGCCTTGGACACTTCCAGGGATGGGGCAGCCACAGCTTCTCTGGGCAGTGTTCTCCACACAGTTTGTCAGGAGCTCAATGACAAATGTTCACAGATGAAATTCCTTGTTCCTGCAGGTCCTGCCCTGCTGCTCACCAGTGACAACATCAAACAGAGACTGGGTTCTGCTGCCCTCGACAGGTACCTGCCCTCCTTGTTACTGGGGGAAAGTGCAGAGAGACTTTGTACTGCTCATGAATATAGAGAATTTGGGAATAAAACCCTGTGTTCTGGCACACATAGGGCTTTCTCATCCAAGTGTTGGAGACAATGGCTGGAGCTGTTTCAGGGCAGGGTCAGGTTGGATCTCAGGAAAAGGTTCTTCCCCCAGAGGGTGGTTGGCACTGACCAGGCTCCCCAGGGCAGTGGGCACAGCCCCAAGGCTGCCAGAGCTCCAGGAGGGTTTGGACAAGGCTCTGAGGGACAGGGTGGGATTGTTGGGGTGTCTGTGCAGGGCCAGGAGTTGGATTGGATGATCCCTTTGGATCCCTTCCAGTTCAGGATATTCTATGATTCTATGAACAATGTTTGAAAAGTATTTGTTTCAAACGTGCGGGGTTTTTTCCATAGTCAGTTTATCACTTGTGAGATTGGAAAAGCTGAATTGCTCCAAGTGGTCACTGTGTGCTCATTCTTAGGGATGCCATGGAAGCTTTAGTGAAGTGAGGCATCACTGCATCCTCCTTCCTTGGTGTATGTGTGTAATAGTATAAATACTGGAGAAACAGAGCAAGCATGAGCCTGGAGATGGGAGCAGATAAGATTCTTAGACTGGCTGAGCAATAGGGCAGGTCTCTGCCCTTCAGATTTTCACAGAATCCCAGCATATGCTGAGCTGGGAGGGACCCACAAGGATCATCGAGTCCAACTCTCAGCCCTGCACAGGCCCATCCCCAAGGGTCACACCCTGTGCCCCAGAGGATCATCCAAACCCTCCTGGAGCTCTGGCAGCCTTGGGGCTGTGCCCACTGCCCTGGGGAGCCTGGTCAGTGCCCAACCACCCTTTGGGGGAAGAATCTTTTCCTGAGATCCAACCTGACCCTGCCCTGGCACAGCTCCAGCCGTTCCCTGGGCTGCCTGAAGGTATCATCCAAACACTCCTTGAGCTCTGCCGGGGTTGGTGACATGTCAGATTCCTCTCTTTTCTCTTGGGAGTTGTGGCATAAACCCATTTTGTTTTCCCACTCTGTCCCAGCATCCATGAGTACAGGCTGACCAGCTGGCTGGGCCAGCAGGAGGACATCCACCGCATCGTGCTGTACCAGGCCGACAGCTCCCTGACCCCCTGGACCCAGCGCTGCATCCGCCAGGCCGACTGCATCCTCATCGTGGGGCTGGGGGACCAGGAGCCCACCGTGGGAGAGGTTGGGAACACCCCTCTTTGCACCTCTGGCAGCCCAGCTCAAAGGGTGTCGTTCCACACTCGGGAGTTTTCCCGGGTTTAATTCCCAATGAAGCGCAAATAATGAAATATTCCTGGGAAATGCGTGCTAGAAATGGGAAAAGAATTGCATGAGAACCCTCTGAAAGGTCAGGTTTTATGAAGGAGTATTTCCAGCAAAGTTCTTTTCCTCTAAAGAGTCATTTTGGCCAATGGTAAATCAAAAGTAAATTGCTTTGAACCTTTGAGTTTCTGCCCAGAATTTCTACAGAGTCTCCACACAGAGAGAGAGAAATTCTTTTCTGCCTGGATGAAATTCATGGTGTGTGCCTAGGAAAAAGTAGATCTAAATTGCAGTGTATGAATAATTTAATCTATTTTATTACAGCTTGTAAGCTGTAATTTTTTTCCTTTACTATCTATTTTTATTATTTTTATGTTTTATTACCTAAGTTTGACCAGGCACATAAATTCTGCAAGAAATTTAAAAATAAGATCCCAAGTGGGGTTTTTTTTTTTAGGACTGTGAAGTGCTGAGTCTGACTCCAAAGAGCCTGGACAGGTCCCACGTGCAGCCTTTGTGTCCCTCTGTGCTGGTTCTCTGTGCCTGGGTGTGGGAGGCAGGGAGCACAGGCACAGCAGCTGCCAGCAGTTGCCTAAACCAACAAGAAAACAAGTCAAAATCAGAAATACAAGGAGGAAAAAGTGAACTGATGGGAAGGGGAAAAAAGAAAACACGCTGAACATTTGTAGGCTTGAGTATGGCTTGGGAACATCTCATGTTGCACGGAGAGGGTGTGTCTGCATGTGCATTTCATGGCCTGCTTTGGGTCAAAAGCATTTAGGTTTGAATCTTTGTGTGCCAGAAGTCTAAAATCAGACAAATCAGTTGTCTGAATCCATCATGTTTGGGGGTTCTTGCTGTGCAGAGTTCTCTGTGGGTTCAGGTGGGAGTGGGGTGTGGGGGGGTGTCTCATACCTGTTACACTGATACTGGAGCAGGCAGTACCTGACCCCCCATTCCTCTGGTGTCCATAACCTGCTGTAGCTGGAGAGGATGCTGGAGAACACTGCAGTGAGAGCCCAGAAGCAGCTCATCCTGCTCCATAAGGAGGATGGGCCCCTCCCTTCCCGAACTGTGGAATGGCTCAACATGCGGAGCTGGTGTTCTGCTCATCTCCACCTCCACTGCCCACGCAGAGTCTTCTCCAAAAGGAGTCTGCCCAAGCTGGTAAGAGATTCCTGATGTAGTAGCTGGTCCCTTGCTGTCCCTCACTTTACCTGTAATCCATGTGTCCAGAGGGATCTGGGATAATGATACTCCATGGTGTTCTGATGTGCAGTGGGCTCTTACACAGACAGAGTTCTCTTTAGATCTGTTTGACCTCAATTTAATAAAGGAAACAGGGATAAGGGGCCCGTGTTTTCTTTAAGGATGCATACTTGGATTTCTGATATCCTGAAGACAGTAAATACTATCTCAGAGTCACTTTGAAAGGGGTGTATGTGCCATAGATTCCTTTTTGTTGGGAGGATCCCTGTGCTTGCCAAAGCCATGCCAAAAATAAGGCAGAGGTAGCCTGGGGTGCTTCTCAGGAGCTTCAAATCTTTGTCAAGAAAGAAACAGCTCCAAAGGAAATACCATGAAATTCTCCCAGCACCTATGGAAGACTGGGAGAGGCACTGGATCTCTAGAACTGTTTGGGTAGTTCATTGACCCTCTGTTCCTTTGAAGAACAGATACCCACTTGGAACAGAATCATATACAGATTCAGGCTGGAAGGGTCCACAGTGGGTCATCCAGTGCCACCTCCCTGCTCAAGCAGGGTCCCCTGGAGCAGTCACCCAGGATTTTGTCCAGATAGTTCTGGAATATCCCCAGTGAGGAGACTCCACACCCTCTCAGGTCACTGCACAGCAAAGAAGTTCTTCCTCATGTTCAGGTGGAACTTCCTGGGCATCAGTTCCTGCCCGTTCCTCTTGTCCCATTGCTGGGCTCCCCAAGCAGAGCCTGGTCCATGCTCTGCCCCCTCCCTGCAGGCACTGACAGACATGGATGAGGTTCCTTCTCAGTCTTCTCTTCCCGAGGCTGAACAGCCCCAGCTCCCTCAGCTTTCCCTCACAAGAGAGGTGCTCCAGTCCCCTCATCTTTGTAGCATCTTTTACCAGGATGTTGTTGGCTGACTCTCCTGTGCCTCTCCTCTGCAGATAGAGATGTATGAACGGGTGTTCCAGAAGCCACCGGACCGTCACTCCGACTTCTCGCGCCTGGCCCGTGTCCTGACCGGGAACGCCATAGCGCTGGTGCTGGGGGGTGGAGGGGCCAGGTAGGTGACTTACTTGGGCTGGATGGGGCTTGGAGCAGCTTGGTCTAGTGGAAGATGTCCCTGCCCATGGTAGGGGGGTGGAACTGGGTGGTCTTTAAGGTCCCTTCAGGCCGAGCCCAGTCGGTGCTGGTGCATTGCTACCGGATCTGGGCGCTCCAGCACCACTGGGCTGTGACAGATCCCGCAGGATAACAGGCATCCTGGAACATCCTGTTCTGCAAACAACGTTTGGGGGTGAAACTTAATGTGCTGGGGGGTTTTGTGCTCGATTTCTGCAGAAGGAACATGAGTATTTGTGACCTCCTGAGAGCTCTCATAAGTTGGGTTTAATACCAGGAGGTGACCAGAGCACTGAACATGATGCTTCTTTCTGTTGGCCTACACTGTGGATTTTTTCCTCTATGGATTCTTATATTAGAAAATGGCTCACAATATTTCAAAGGCCCTCAAAGCTCTTCAAAGTTGGAGCAGTAAGAGGAATTATTTCCTCTAATGGCGAATGTTCTCGTCTGTACAATCCCCCAAGCCCTCAGGTACCCACACTTTGACAGCCTTACCTTGCAGAAAGAGTGTATTTTTGCAGACACAAGGACAAGGTGTGTGCTGAACACTCTGTTAGAATTCCACCTGAATCCCCAGTGAGCTTTAGAAATAAATTATTACTGGCATTTTTCTTTGGAATCTCTTTTTACTTTGAGAGTTTAATGTCGAGACAGAATTGAGCCGCCCTTTGTCTCAAGCGAGCGCCGCCTTCGTTGTCTCCATCACTGTGTTCTTGAAGCCCTGCTTTAAAACAGTGCTTTGAAATACAGCTCTCAGAAATAAAATCCATAACTTGCACACAGTCTGTCTGTTTAAGTCCACAGAAATATCACGTTTCTGTCTTCGGGCCAGCGCGTGCTCTGGGGGAACGTTCACTGCAGCGGAGCTTGGAGCTCCTTTGTGGCAGCTTGTCCTGATTAGTCACTTGGTGCTGAGACAGCCACTGTTTGGCTGGTTCCTTGGGTGCCTGCACAGGTGCCTTCATCCTGCTCCCTTTCAGTGCCTCACCTGAGCTGATTTCAGGATTTCATTTCTGAGACAGGCTCTGCCCTGTGGAGACACAAAGCAGAGCAGAGGAGGGGAGCCTCTGTTTAATCTGAGCTTCTCAGGAGGCTTCTCATCAACTGATACAAAGCACTTGTGGCTTGTTCTTTGTTACCAGCTGGTATCTCTGCCTCTACCCAAGCCTTTGTCAAGCTAAATACGTGCACTCCTGTACTGCTGGCAGCACACTGTGCTCGTTCCCTTCCTTCCTTCCTTCTGTAAACACAGCTGTAATTTTTGCCAAACTGTTTATTTCTTTTGTTCTATTACTTAATTTACAAGCTCCCACCTGCGGGTGTGCAGGATCCCAGGTAAGGAAGAGCAGGATCATTGAGCCTGTGCTGGTCCTGTGTTGTCCTTCTCTGCAGAGCTGCTGCTGTGTTGGCTTTGGGGGCTCTGGTTGCACATCACCCCTTCAGCAACGTGACATGTGCCATTAATCTGCTCATTTCTGCATCTGTGCAATATGAGGGACTTGGAGAGGATTAAATGGCAGAGTGGATAAATAAGATATTTCTTCTTTCTCTGAAGCTCTGTGGCCTTAAAGTGCTTGTTCAGGGGGTTCAGGCTGACACATGGCTGGTGTGAGCATTGTGTTTTCCATGCAAAGGCACAGAATGCTGTTTTGGTCATTGAATCATCATCTAAATTGTGGTTAGATAAAAGACCTGGTTTTCTTAAAAGATTGTTTTCAAAGTGAGAATAGTGGGGAAAGGACAAAATTACTCTGAACTCTGTAAAATTTGCCTTTGGAAGGGCAAAGTGAGTTCTTAGTTTCCCCATTTCTATTAACAAGAGAACTTCAAGAGATTAGGCACCAGGTACTTAAAATCATCCTGTGATTAAAGCCTGTTCTAACTAAAACCATCTTCATGGGTCACTGCACAGACTGTTCATAGTCAGTGTGGCCTTTGGATAATAATTATATGAAGTAACCTCCCACCTTGTTCTCAGAGCATGAATCATGCTGGTCACACAACCAGAGAGAGGAAATCCTGACAGGGGCTGGCTGGTGGGTATTTGTTCAAGGGATTGTGTTCTGGGACTCCAGTAATCTCAATTATTTAGTTGTTATTTTGGGAATGTTTGTCTGGCTTCCCAGTGACAGTTGGATTGGGAGGTTTTACCAACAGCAGCTTCCCAGTAATTATCATTGTGGTTTGTCATGACAAAAGCTCAGAGGAACTAAAGGTTTTCTTTCTCTTGTGAGCATAAAAATAAAACAACTTGAAGTGATACAGTTCAAAAATTACAGTGTTTTGCTTTTGTGAAGCACTAACTTAATTTCAGTTAGAAACATTGTAGAGCTTGAGAGAAGGAAAGGGGATTTGTGTTTAGGAAAATAATACCTTTGAAAAGTAGTTGCAAGAATAATGACACATCAAGCCCTGCAACAAAGGCATAAACCCTCCCATAAATAATTGTCCTGACCTTTAGCCCTCCCACATACAGCCCACTTTGCTTTGCTGTGGTTGTCTGAGCAAAGCTGTTTGAAAACTAACATTTATAGGAAGTAAATAATTAGTACAGAACTATCTGGGAATCCCTCGGGCTTTGGGGAATAAAAATATTGGGTTGTGCTGTTTCAGAATCACAGAACCACAGAATGTCCTGAGCTGGGAGGGACCCACAAGGATCATGGCCCTGCACAGGACACCCCAGCAATCCCACCCTGTGCCTGACTTCAACAAAACTGGGATCACAAGCTTTGTTGTTGATGATAATGCCACTATTCCAGGAATGAATGTGGTGCCTATTCCATGTAGGCATAATGGGAAAATCCAAAGCATTGGAGCTGCCCCAGGCTGGGTATTTGTAGTAAAGCACATGATACAAGTCCATGGTGTGCATGAGATGTGCTTATTGAGAAGGAAAGGGCTGTTGGGATAAGGAATTACTTCTCTTTTTTGGGTGTACTGTCTCCACTAACAGTCAGCTGTTCGTGCTGGGAAGGAATTCAAGTGCTGCCAGAGCCCTTTACCAGCCCATACCTGCCATGCCTTCCCTTCCCTTCCTTCAGGCAGAGCATTTAAACCTTCCCTGAGGAGCTGCTGTTGACGGATATTTGTAAATAATTTCATCAGGGCATCTTTTCATTTCTCCTTTTTCCCCTTTAGCTTTCTCCTCAAGCTCATTATCTCACCTCAGCACTCAATATGTCAAGCAGTTGGGTTTTTTCCACACAGCTTTCTTGCTGACACTACGGATGTGGCTCAGACCTTTTCATTTTGGGCAGTTGGCCTGGTTCAGCAACTTGTTCTTTCTGCACTTTGTTCTTTTGTTTCCAGCTCTGGCCCTCTGGAAAGGGAGGATAAAAGCAGCAGTGTAGGAGAAGCTGTGGAGATCTCTGGTATGGAGATCTCTGTGTCTGATGGATGCTCTTGTTGCCTTGTCTGTCTGTCTGTCTGTGCTCCTGCAGCCTGTGCCATGTGCAGGGTGCTCACACTCCAGGCTTTTAGAGAAGGTCCAGCTACCACCTCATTTACAGGCTGCTGCTGGGCCTGATTTGGGTCTCTGAGCTCCTTAAAGCCTGGCTTTATCTCCCCTTTCAATGGCTTTACCCAGTGATGGAAAGGCTGGAAGAGATCTGCAGATCTCAGTTGTTCTGCTCTCAGGAGACCACATTTGCCCTCTGCACTCTGTGTTTGCTCCAAGCCCCCTGATTGCACAAGGAATAAACCATGGGGGCTTTACTGTTGCTGTATCTGTGATGTTTGGCTGCAGCTCCAGCTCGTTCAGGCAACTTGGAGTAAAAACCTGCTTATCAGCCTTGTCTTCTCTGCCACCAGACACTGATCTGTTCTTCCAGGAGGCACAGAGAGAATTTGGTTGTCCTGTGTCTGCACAGGGACAAAGCCTTGCAGCTTCTGAGCAATCCCTGGCATAGCCAAGTCGGGAGGAACTGCCCTCTGTGCCTGGAAGGGACCAAGGGATGCCAGATCAGACTGTCCTTTGTGGTGGGTGTAGCAAGGAGCAGGTAGAACATGCCCACAGCCACCTCAGGGCATGGTGGATACACATGTACATCTCCCAGTGAGGTACCAGGAACGTTTTTGAAGGCTGGGTCAAGCGTGGCAGCACGTTGGGAGGTTTCCCAGCTGTGCCCTTTGTGTCCCTGAGCAATCCTGGTGGAAAGGAATTGGTGAAAAGCTCCCAACATAACCTGAGGAAAAATTTTAAACAGGCATTTTGAGAACTTTAGAAGCTCCTATTCCTTTTCTGAGTGTTGATGCTTTGAGCATGCAGGTGTGGCTGGGGGGTGAGGAGCTCCTGCACGTGAACAAACCCTGTGGTGCTTCCCTGTTCCATCTTGCTAAAAAAGGAATTGAGTTTGGGGATTGATGACCTGCTCTATCCATGTAAAACACTTTAAAGCACGTAAGTGCCGTGCTGTGAGATATTATATCACTTCTCTAGAGTCTTTGCAGGTTGTCTGGGGAGCTCCTGGCTGCCTTTAGCAGGCACAGGGACGTGTTGCTGCTGTTCATGGCTGGTGACGCAGCGTTTTAATTACACCCCCAGCAATTAAGTGGTATCAGAGCTGGCACGATGCAGAAGCTGAATTTGCAGTATGCTCATGTGAGGAGTCAGAAAAGATCAATAAAGATGCTGGTAAGTTTTTTTGTTTGGTTTGTTATTTTAACTTGCAGAGGAGCCTTAAAACACACAAAGCCCCTGTGGTCCCATCCTGGCTGGGGACAGCTCTTTCTTAATTGTGTCCTATTCTCATGATAATTGAACAGATGAGGGTTTGGTGGTTATCCTGTCACGTTGCTGCTCAGTGCTTCCTAATTAATTGGATTTTGCCATCTTAACTCTGAGAAACTTTCACTTCTGCACTGCACAGGGCAGGTCTTCAGTGTTTGGTGGGAAGGTCACTGCAGGCAACAGAAACTCCTCTTTCACTTCATATG